AGTCATCTGTGTCCTTGGCATACCCCACCCACCAACCTACCTGAAAATGCAATTGGTTAGAATCGAACCCAACCACGCGTGCTGCGGGATGGCATCAAAAGCCCACTTAATGGATTATCACTAGCCATTGTTTGGTGTGTATTACTTTTTAGGACCAGCACCATGATATTAGAAGATGGTGATTTGACAGGTTCATGATTTTAGAAGATGATAATAAGAAGCAGCAGCGATGGAGAAGCAGGAGTGGGCTCACCAGGCTGGTTCCGGCGAGCTTGGTGAGCCTGGAGGCGTCCTGGTACCGCTGCTCCTCGATGGCGCTCTGCGAGGATGGATCAAAACAAGAGGTGAGGTGGGGGAAACAAAACAGGGGACGGGGACGAACCCTAGGTAGCGGAACATCGTGAGAATCCGGAACCGGCGAGGGCGAGACGGGCGAATCGAGTAAACCTTGAGCTCGGCCATGACGCGGGAGACGGCGTCGTCGGCGGTGGCGTCGAGGAGGGCGCGCTTGAGGGCGGCGGCCTCGGCGAAGTCCTCGCCCTCCACGGCCTCCTCCAGCTGGAAGCGCAGCACGGAGGCGTAGCTCTCGGCCTGGTCTACCTCCGCGAAGTGCCGGCTCCAGCGGGCCCAGTCCCACGCCGACGGGGACGAAGACGCCGACGCCGACGCCGACGCAGCCGCCGCGGGGGAGGACGAGGAGACGGTGCAGCGGCATGCCGTGGCGGAGGCGCCGCGGCGGGCGGGCACGTGCGCGGCGGAGGGAGGCGGCGGCGGGCAGCGGCGCGAGACCGGGAGCGGCGGGCGCGCGGCCGCCGGCGTGGCGCACGCGGCGGGGGGCATGGGGACGGACGGAGGGAGGGATGGGCCACGCGGTGGAGAGAGAGAGAGAGGAGGGGATAAGGATGGCGTGATTTCAGATTGGGAAGTGGCGATCGATGGATCGAGAGGCCACAGGCTGACGATCGCCGGTCACCACCACCACTTGCCGCGGCCGCCGCCGGTAAAAGTTAGATCTTTTTTTCTTGCAAGATAGGTGTTACTATTAGGGAACTGCGGTTCAATTAACAGAGGAGAAGCCACCACATTTAGAGCATCTTGAGTAGATCCCTAATTTTCTTTTTTGTTACTGTTAGGGTTGTCTCACTAACACTTTTCTGATTATTGAGGAGTTGTTTTCAGCATATTCATGATAAATTTACCTCTTATATGTGAGTGACATGCGGGGTCCACATAGAAGCTCTGGTTATGGGGGCTGTCGGGTGGGTTGAGATGGGGGTGGGCTGTGTGATGCAGAGGCGTGTGGCGGCGGGGTTGGGGCCGAGTTGTGTGGCGAGGTCCCCGCAGGGCGGCGATGGGGTGCGGCGGCCGGAGAAGAGGAGGGAAGACCTCCAAGAGGCAATGACTCAATGGAGGCTGGAGAACGGATTGGCGGGGACAGCCGACGGGGCGTCGGTCGAGCACGAGGGCAACACCCTGACAGAGCGACAGAAATGAAATCAATAAGATTTGGGACTAGGGAAGGTCCATCTTTCCCGCTTGTGGGAGTTGGTTTCTGTATCACCAATAAGAGGGGTTGCGGAAAAGGATGTAACAAGGCTAATTTTTTTAGTCCACACCCCCACACACACACACACAAAATGATAGTTTATTGAGGAAAGGGCGCCTGCTCTTAGGGTCACATTTGAGAAGAACACTGGTCTTCGACAAAATCGTACAAACCCGAGTCCGTCCGCCTCACCCGCAACTAAGCATAAGTTCTATCATTCCTCGAACTAACCATATGCGGCCATGTTGCTATCGTGTCTTCTCCCAATGTGGCTAAGATGGCGACGATTATTGCCTCATTCCACATACATATCCTGCTCTCGCCACGGTCAGGTGGTACCACACCAACAGTTGCGCTGTCATTCGAGATGGACCAGGACATAGGAGAGGGGAGTGTTCCCCCACAAAAAAAGAGGGAGTGTTGTGCAAAGACGCAGACGCGAAGCCGCCAACATAAAGGACCCGCCGCTCCCGAAAGAGCAATAAGTCCACTGTTGTGGTAAGACTCAAAGAGAATCCATCAGCACACCAGGTGCGCGTGTGAGGCTCATAGCGCTGGGAGGTGCACACACAATGATGGGAGCAGCGAAGCAGACCGGCGTGAAGGATTCCAGTGTGGTGGTGTGGACTGTGGAGCCCAAGGCAGTCCTGCGTGGCACTATGTTGGTGAGGCATCGATGATGACAGGACCGAAAGCGGGGAGGAGAGTATGTGTGGTGGGGGAGGCGAATAAGGGAATCTCCAATGGGAGTCACTAAAACGCACGTCCGGGCGTGTCCGCAAACAAGGGAGCAGGAGACAGTCATCCAACCATATCCACCAAATGTCCATCCCTTGTCCAATGAAAAAAGAGAGAAAGGAGGAAGATAAAAGGTGGGTTTGTGGTGGGGTCTAGGACTGAAGGATCTTAGTCTTGTTTTTCATGTGTAGGAATTTGAAAAAGTCCAAGTAGGTTGTAAACTTTGAACAGACGCATGCTCAGCAGCCGCTGCCTCTTGTCCCCCAAAAAAGCTTAGGATTCCTCTGCCTCTCGTCGGCATTGCCGCCAGGTCCGCCTCGTCTCCGGTGAACTTAGGGCCATGGGGGCGCGATGGACCCGGCCATTGCCAGCGGGAGGGCCACGTTTTTAGATGTTTCTTTGACTTTTGTTAGGGTTTGTGTCCTGCTTAGAAATGTGAGACGGTGACGGCTCCCTGAAGATGGAACAAGGTTCTCCCCGCCTAACCCCTGTCTCGGCGGTGCGTCTAGCATCGTTGGTGGGCACGTGATGTGGTGTGTCTCCAGTGGATTTGTCTTTGATAGATCCGCTCGGATCCGGTTGTTATTCGTCTACAATCATGTGTCTTTAGATTGGATCCTTCCGATCTACACTACTATTCATCGGTGGGGGTTGTTGTACCGGTGGACTGGCCCTATGAGGCCCTAGCACGACGATTTTCCAACTGTCTACTATAACAAGTTTTGCCCGGCTCCGGCAAGGGAGGGGTGATGATGCATATAGGGGCGTGCCTTCGGCTCGCTTCAGTGCTTGTAGTCGTCGCTAGGTGGTCTACGGATATGGATGCAATTTTTTATTCATTTCTAGTTTTCGTTGTACTGCTATGATTGAACAGGAATAATTCAGAAGTTATTTCGCAAAAGAAAAAGAACAAAACGCATAAATAGTGTCATCATATTTGTATTCATTTGTGAACCAAAGCAATATTTATGGACACCCATGGTTTTCCAGCAAATTCGGCGTCGTTTTAACCCTCGGAGCGTCGACGAATCCTGGTGTGTCAACGACGTGTGGGTCCGTGCACACGTTCAGCCACGAGCATGAGCACGTCTCACTGCCGCGTGGGCCCGTGCTCGCCGATGCTTTTGTGGGTCCAGCTGTTGTTTCTCCAAGCCCCGTTGTCGCCGTCGCCGCGGCCCGTCCCCTCTCGTCGCCTCTAGCATTAAGCCGCCGCCAAATCTCGCTCGCCGTCGTGGGTCTGTGCCGGAGGTGACTTTGTTGGCTCAGGCCGATGGAGCGTTGTCTTGGCACTGGCATCGGTCTTGGCTGGCTCGAGCTCAGTCCACTCCCGTTGGAGGTAAAATCTCAATCTATATTGTTTTTGAACAATCACGGGGGGAGAGGGCCCCCACCTGAATATATTACTTAAAGGCCCAACGGACAAGTTATATCAAAATCTCAATCTTTGGCTCTATATCTTTTGTGAATTGTGATTGCTCAATCTATAACACTACAAGAGTGGTCAATCTGCAAGCCCAAGAAGGAGATTTCTTTTCTGTGTAAACTCAGGAATCAGGACAATTCAGGTAAATTCGGACGACGCTTTTCGCCGAAAAACGGACCAGTCACGCCCCCTCCCCCTTCCAAGGACGTCGAAATAGCGCCGGCAAACCCAGCGCGTTGGGGGCTCTTGGGGGCGCCGTCGGAAGTTTCGTGTTGCCCCACATGTCCTTTTTTTTGGCCCACTTAATCATTTCCCTCATAAACTTTTGGTTGGGGTGGGATGTGGCTGGGAAGATGCCCTCCTCATGCACCCCTGTTTTAGCCAGATGAAGCATTTGGCCCCCCAAGACACGAACTTTTTTGGTTTGGTGGTGTTCTTGGGGCTCCAACGGCTGGAGATGCTCTAAGATGTACTGTGTTTTCTATCCTAGTTTGCTGCCGTTGTTTACAGCCTGGGCCATGCTTATTACAGTCCTTGGAATGTCTCTCTATATATCAAAAGCAGAAATTTTGCTCCCTCACAGATATATATATATGGGCTTAATGTTTACAACCTTTCGAAAGTTGATGAATTTTGTCCCCTGCAGCACACTATAGATAGACATAACCACTTGCTCATCCTGAGTGAGGCATGCCTGTTCTGTTGGTTTCAATCGGGCAAGCTGATGAACCACTGCTGAAATAAATAAAAGCGATCCAAACTCGCTTCCCTTTATCATCCCAACCTTTTCGCAGGTAAATAGACTGAAGTTTTGGACACAAGCTAATTTTTCTTGCACCTTCTATACAGAGCTTTTCACTGGTACAGCGATGGCTATATATTACCGCCTGTTGTCATTGTTGATGTTAAAGCCCATCCAATACCAAACATAACTTGATCACACTCACTGACACATCAAGGTTCAGATTTGTTTCCTCTGTGGCCATTCTACTATATGACGACATATCTGATCATGTGATCGATGTTGTCAATTTCGGAGCGACAACGCCGGACCGGACCGGAGCCCTGAATGCTCATAAGACCGACAGAGTCGGTCGATGCATGTTCCCCTTCTCCCTCTCCCATCCCTCCTCAACCACCACCTCACTCTTCTCTTCTCTTCTCTCCTCTCTCTGTCTACACAAACAGACACCAGCACAAGGGTTTGCAAGAGGCCACCCATCATTAGTTGACTGCACATATCCCATTCCCAAGCTAGCTAGCCAGACAAAACAAGAGAGATAGCTTGCTAGCATGTTCATGGCGCATGAGGAGGCCGGCCTGGCCCTGGGCCTCTCCCTCGGCTCCGGCGCCGGGCACCACCACCACCTGCTTCAGCCGAAAGAAGCGGCGCCTCCGGAGCCGTGCCTGTCCCTGAGGCTGGCCGGTGCCGGCACGGTGAAGAGGGAGGAGGAGGAGAGGGCCCTCATCTACTGCTCGGCGGCGTCGTCGGCCGCGGACGACCTGGTCGAGGGGTACAACAGCAGCGGTGGCGGCAGCCGGAAGAAGCTGAGGCTGACCAAGGACCAGACGGCGCTCCTGGAGGATCACTTCAAGGAGCAGAGCACCCTCAGCCATGCAAGTGTTTGATTTGATCCCCCTATGATTATCCGATTCATCACCGCATACTCTTTTTTTCATGCTTTTTTTACATGGTTGATTTGGGTTTAAATCTGGTTATTATTTATGGTAGGCTTTCTGATTTGGCCTTTTTGATTGATATAATCTGAGCAGAAGCAGAAGGCATCTTTAGCAAGGCAGCTCAGCCTCAGGCCAAGGCAGGTTGAGGTGTGGTTCCAAAACAGAAGAGCCAGGTTAGATAGCAATTGCATCAACCAATTATCCGGTTAATTATCAGATCGTTAATTAATACAATGTATGTTCCTAAATATACGACATTTTGTCAGTTCAATTTAAACTGCCAAAACGTCTTATATTTAAAAACAAAGGTAGTAGTATTCATGAATGTGGATACATGATGGTGAATTAACTGATTGCAGGACGAAGCTGAAGCAAACGGAGGTGGACTGTGAGCTGCTGAAGCGCTGCTGCGAGACGCTCACGGAGGAGAACCGCCGCCTCCACCGTGAGCTCCAGCACCTCCGCGCCCTGCACCACCACCAACACCACCACCCAGCCGCCGCTTTCTTCATTCCGTCCGCCGCCACGGTGGCCTCCGTTTGCCCTTCCTGCAGCGGTGCACCGCCTGCCCACGCCGCCGACCGCCCCGCCACGAAACGCGCCTTCTTCGCCTCCAAATCCGCAGCCTGCTAGCCATAACTCCATGCATATAAAAAACATACACCCATGATTTGAGTTAATCTTCATTAGCTCATCACCACATCGATTAACTACTGTATATAGATATTCATTTCACCCCATCCCCTTCAGTTGGTTAGCTTCGTTTTTTCGCAAGTTAATCAAAGGAGGATGGATGGAGTAGCGTGCATTTTTTACTTTTCTTTAGAAAATGGAAGCCCTTTTATCCCGGGCCTCTCCACCCAAGATGCATACAGATGCATTTAGGATTAATTAATTATGGTGTAAAAGTTGTTGTTGTGTAGATAGCAACCCAGGATTGGCTATTTCTGAATCACTGGTGAATTTTATTACCAGGAGATCATCATCGAGTATGATGTCGATGACGCGTGACACGGTGTCACATGATACATACATCCTGGTTTGTTCGGATGTATAATAGATGTTTGTATTCTTTTTCATCATGTGGTGTAATATTAATTTGTTTCCAACAGCATACATGTATGTATTGACTTATTTAAGAAATTATAAACGCACATGCTCGAGACTTGAGCTACATTTCTCTTTGTACAGTAAGAGTTGTGGTTGAAGTTATATCTTCTTTGTATCGTTCCAGTTTTTATTAGATGTCTCGGAAACGGCGAGATTATATCTTATATTTGTTGTTTCATAACTGAAACAATGATCGAAGTTAATGACAAGGATTCAACTAACCGAAGTTTGATTTCGGCATAAATTTGGGATGTATAATAGATGTTTGTATTCTTATTCATCATGTGGTGTAATATCAATTTGTTTCTGATGAGATACATGTATGTATCAAGTTATTTAAGAAATTATTATATACGCGTGCTCGAGACTCGAAAACTACATTTCTCTTTGTACCGTAAGAGTTGTGGCTGAAGTAATATCTTCTCTGTATTGTTCCAGTTGTTATCAGATGTCTCGGAAACAGCAAGATTATATCTTATATTTGTTGTTTCATAACTGAAACAATAATCAAATTTGACGACAAGGATTCAACTAAACGGAATTTGATTTTGACCGTAAAGTATATATAGGTTAGGTCTGGTAATATTATCCAGTGTTCTTTTAGATGTTAATCAGTGTTTCTTGAGACGACACAAATGATGTGATGGAGCAAATCAAGATGAGACATGAACTAGGCGTGACATGGTGCCAAAGAGGGAGGTTGGGTGGTGGGTGGTTTGTGAGGCATGGGTTGTATGCAGCCTGGCCAGCTAGGGGACACACACACACAATCAACCAAGCAAGCAATGATCTTTCTGTTGGGACACAACCACACCATTCCGATTGCTGCCTCCCAATTTTTGGCATGCAGCCACTTCCTCATGACCCCGTCGCCCACGGCAGGCATGTGACCTCTGTATGACTAGCATGGCATCCGTATCATGATAAAAGTAGTCATTCTGATTTTGCGCTTTGCGGTCTTTCGCCGCATGCAGATAATTCTCCTAAGATCAATGTGATTTTAGATTTACATTGTTGGAAGGCAATAAAGTTGGCAAATTTCAGTGGATAGTAACATTAATTATCCTGCTCTTTTTTGTTTCAGTTTATATTCCTAATGCGGTTTTATGTTTATTTGCTCGGGTGTAAAACTAATTCGAATTTACAAATGTTATAAATAAACATCAAACATGTTGTCCCCTTTGTTGCCGCGAGGATGCTCATCCCCATGATCAACGGCCTAACAACGACAACGATCCATCTCGGCACCCTCATCCTTGATTTTTCAACTTCATGATGGGGATGTAGAGATTGCCGAGGCAGCAACCTCCAAGCCGAGTCATATTCAAGTATCTCAGGATTCTGTGAACAATATCAAGATGCCCACTCCTTGGTTCATGCATGTATCTGCTCACCACCCCCACGGCAAACGTAATGTCAGGCCTGGTATGACACAAGTACAATAACCTCCCAACCAGCTTCTGATAATCTTTCTTATTCACTAGCTCACCTGATTGTGCTGTTACTTGATGATTTTGTTCAATTGGAGTAGGGGCTGCACGACATCCCATCATGCCCATGTCACTCAAAAGATCCAAGGTGTATTTTCGTTGGCACAAAGATATTCCCTTCTCTGTCCGAGCCACTTCTATGCCAAGGAAGTACTTTATATTTCCCAAGTCTTTTACCTCAAACTCCTTGCTCAGACACCCCTTCACTCTCTTTATTTCCTCCTCCTCATCTCCAGTGATGATGATATCATCAACATACACTGAAACAATGGTGATCTTCTTATCAGTGTGTCTATAGAACACCGTGTGATCACCATTACATTGGCCATACCCCATATTCCAAACAGCTCGTCTGAACCTATCAAACCATGCCCTCGGTGATTGCTTGAGACCATACAAGGATTTCTTCAGCCTGCATACCTTCCCCGTAGTCTGTTCTGTGCCAAAACCTGGCGGTATCTCCATTTATACCTCTTCTTTCAAGTCACCATGTAAGAAGGCATTCTTGACATCTAACTGGTGCAATTTCCACCCAAAGTTTCCAGCACACGAGACCAATACCCTTACTGTGTCCGTCTTTGCAACTGGAGCAAATGTCTCATCATAGTCAATTCCATAAGTTTGACTATATCCTCTGGCGATCAATCTAGCCTTATACTGTTCCACCTTGCCCTCAGGATTCTGTTTCACGGTAAAAATCCGCTTATAACTCACTGCTTTCTTTTCTGCCAGCAATGTGGTTAGCACCCATGTCTTATTTTTTTTCCAGTGCTTCTAACTCCTCTATCATCGATTCACGCCACTTCGGATCTTGCTTTGCAGCCTTTCAATCCTTAGGGATAGACACATTTTGTAGAGAGGCATTAAACGCCTTATATGAAGATGACAAAGCCTTGTAAGACACAAAAATGCCAATATCAAGGTCATCACAAGCATCATCCTTTGGCAGAGCCTTCCTTGCTACCTCACCCTTCCTTGCCGCTTCACATGTAGGTTTTCACAACGCAATGGGCAGCTCCAGTGTGTCAGATGAGCTCGCCTCACTGCCTTGCTGCTCCCCCTGCACTCTTGCCTTACTGCCTTGCTGCTCCCCCTGCACTCTTGCCTCCCTACCTTACTGCTCCCCCTGCACTTGTGGTTGCCGTCGAGAGTACACCAGGGTATTCGCCTGCCATCGATCCCGAACAAGAACCTCGAGAGCACCAATCTGAAGTGTATCGACAGTTGTCTCGACATGAGCCTGCACATCATCATCAGTGATGGTACTAACCGGAATTGTACCCACTATTGGTTGAACCTGAGCCCGCACATCATTATCAGTGTTAATGTCCACAGAATCACCGTGAGTATGAGACACATCCTTCTCCCCCTCTTGACCATCATGCACATGGTGTAGGTGGTCAAGCTCTGCAAACAACAGACTGAGATCAGTTGGCTCACCATAGAATGGCTCAGACTCCCTGAATGTAAGATCCATACTTACAGACATGCGTTTTTCAGAGGGACACCAACATTTATGCCCCTGCTGACTAGACGAGTATCCCAGAAAGACACACTTCACTGCCCGAGGATCAAGCTTTCCAATAGATGGTCGGTGATCACGAACAAAGCAGGTACTGCCAAACAACTTTGGGGGAACAACAAACTTATTATTTCCAACGAGCAACTCAGACGGAGATTTCATGCCAAGTATCCTGGAAGGTGTCCAGTTGACCAAGTATGTGGTTGTCATAACTGCATCATCCCACAAGAACTTAGGCACATTCATGGTAAACATCAACGACCGAGCAACCTCAAGAACATGACGATTCTTCCGTTCGGCCACTCCATTCTGAGGGGGGTGTCCGGACATGAAGTTTGATGAAGAATCCCATGGTCAGCCATGAAAGCCCCAAAAGTGTTGTTCACATACTTCGTTCCATTTTCCGTCCTGAGCATCTTGACCTGCACCCGAAACTGGTTCTTTACAAGAGCATGGAAGTTCTGAAAACAACTAAACACCTCATCCTTGTGATGCATCAAGTAAATCCAAGTCATGCGAGAATAGCAGTCAATAAAGGTAGCAAAATACTTCTTCCCATTCATTGACACCACGGGGCTAGTCCATACATCCGAATGAACATAAAAGGAGATATGCTCTTGATCCCCTTACTCACATATGAGGCTCGTGTGTGTTTTGCATATTCACAAGCATCACATGTCAGCTTGCCTTTGCCTATTCCACACATAACATCCGGAAATATTCTACTCATCTTATCAAAAGATACATGCCCCATCCTACCGTGATGGATCATCGCCCGCTTCTCCTTATCCTCCATGGTCGTAGCACACACCAAGTCCGGCTGCACCTCCTGGTCCATGTACCAAAGCCCCCTACGCCTGGTGCCAGTCCTAACCGTCTGGCTCATCTGTTGCACCTGAATCAAGCAACCGAACTTGTCAAGGATCACACGACAGTCCATTTGATCAATGAGCGCACTGAAAGAGACCAAATTGATAGGAAAGGCTGGCACATGCGATGACAGGGAAATAGTTGGAGTACACTTTACTGTACCAAACCCTATGACTGGCTGTTTTGTGCCATTAGCCGTTTGTATAGTGCCCGTGTGAGAGGGAGGATGCCTATTGTAAAACTCGAACACGCAGGAGTTACTAGCAACATGCTTAGATGCTCTAGAGTCAAGAACCCACTCTGGAGCACTCTCATTAGTAGCAAGAGAAATTCAAGAATAATCCACGAAAGAATGAGTGTGGAGGCATAGAGAAACCTCGCTCCAGATGCGTGGTGAGGAGAACTCGCTCGTCTTCGCGCGGCGTCGGCTCGGTCTCGTCGCTAGGCAGCCTCCATGCGTCGGCCGGCACCAAGCCGTCAGTGACGAGCTGCAGCACATCAGCCTCCGAGATGGTCGAGCGCAAGAAGTCCCCTTGAATCCACCCGGGTGGCGCCCGCGCCTGAGCACCAGATGGCTTCCTCCCCTTCACCGCGCCCTTCTTGGCACGCTCGAGCTTCGTCGTCTTGTCCTTCACCATGGC